CACAATGATGTTTGTTTTGTTCTCGCAGAGAGTGATTCTCTACTTATAACAATCAAATCCCCAGTTTGCATTTTTCTACTCACATATCACATCTTATAATGTTCACAATGTACATGATAAATTAATAACAGAAAACATTGAAAATGTATCTGCATGTCGTAAATGATTAAAACGAAACGTGTGAATGAATATTGATTTGCTCCATGAAAATATTTTCACAATATATATTTGGTTATCGATCTTGACGATAAATCAAGAAAGACTTAAATGGGCAACAAAAATGATATTTGTAGATTATGCTTTTAACATCTGAGTACTTTACTGCCACCTAGTGAAGCTATAATGTAATGTTTTCATAAAAAATAGTTTTAAAAATAAATCAATTTCAATTATTATTATGAACATTTAAAGAAATAGTAAAAATTCATCGTCATTGTCACAACTGTGCAAAGAATTACTTTCATCGCTTTAACATTCAGACAACTAGCAGGAATGTGGCACTTAATTTGACATTACATGATAGCCACATAAACACTGTGTCTATAAACATTTTCAGTCCATGTTCAGACACAATAGATACTGAGAAGATATGAGATAGAACTCTGCACAGTGCAATCTTTCATTTCTTAACTGACATGGCACTACCCCACACGCAATATACTCATTCATACTTTAAATTTTGTTATTTTTGTAATATTTAAATATGAACATTCACATTTCTGCTATCAAATGTATTAAATAACAATAATGGAGATGACTAATACTCTAAATCTGCTTCATACAGTCGGGTTTAAGGTATTTGGTCTGAATTGTATGATCATTAACAATGATTGTAGATATTACATTTCAGATTGCAACTAAAATTCATGCAAAAATTTATAATCCCAAGTATTCACGCTAGTACCCAATGTTTACTTTATACACTTGTAGTTTGTAAAAGATCTGTTACTTAGTGAATGCAGCAAATACAGCCCACAGGACTGGATTGGCATTGGGTTTAGCAGCTTCTGCTTCAAAATCGAGATCTAATAATGTCCGTACTCGTCGCATTGCTATTTCATAATCATCATCAGAAAGTGGTGCAAATGCATTTTCTAGTACATCAGCTGCATGAGCTAAAATTACTAAAGCTAATATTCGCCTATCCATCCGGCCAGCATCATTAACCCAACGATTTAATACAGCTTCTTGAATCTGTGAAACATTAAAATCATCTTATAGTATGACCTGCATAATGTTAACAAATGTAAAACAATACAATGAAAACTTTAAAGCCAACTAAACGTAAGTAATCTTATCAGTTTACACCCACACAAATACATGTGATAAGATATTTTTTACAAATGGAAACAGTGAATGTGGAATATAACGTCGTAATATATATGGACATATATACCTTTTTTACAAGACGACATTTGGCAAAGATATCAGTAAGAGGATGAGTTGTCATATCAAAGAGTAAGAAATTTTGTTTCTCTGTTGTTAAAACTCCTTTTTCTACAAGATTTTTCGCTAATCTTTCTCTAACATTTTTTAACTGGTATCTCAATTTAAGTGGATTCCATGTTTCTCCTAAATGAATTTAAATTTTTATTAAAGTACTAAATTACTAATTGAACAAGTATGTTTCTCAATCAATATATATCATATATACAATCAGTATATACTAACCGCTAAGATATTCAATCCAGCTAGGAACAGTTTCGGGTGGATCAGTTTCTTTTAAATGTTTTAGAGCTTCATCTAACAAAACGTCTCCTGTTGGTGCATCATTCTTCAATAGTAATTTCCTCACTAAGAGTCCTTTCTTACGCATACCAGCTTTCTCTAATTCCACACGACCACGAAATCCAAGTTCCGCCAAGATACAACCACGTAATCCAGAGCTTATACAGTCGTTCCAAAATGAAGTATATCCCTGCAAAAGAATATATATTTTAAAACTTAGGTATAAATTGCTCGCTTACTCTGTAGTTATGTTACATTTGCAAATCCACTGTAGGCCAATAATGTCAACAAACCTCCTTGTCCTTGAGACCAAGCAGTAAGACTTCTTCCATCAACGTTAATCGTGTCTCTTTATCAGAATCGTCATCGATCGTGGGATTTGAATTAAGATCTTTTTGCGTAGAAGAATCTGTATCTGCGCCATGGCCAGACAATTTGTCATTGTGGCCAATATCGTTTGAACCATCTTGACCTAGACTACTGCCACTACTGCTATTAACTACACGTCGTCGTTGTACCAATCCGTCACTGCGATTCATCATTCAACGAAGCTCTGCTTCTTTTGCGATTACGTCCGCGTGTCAAATACGCCACCGTGTCGCCTTTACTCCCGTTGATTAGGCGTGTAGTCAACCGCAGTTAAAGCAAGCTGGCGGCATGTATCGAACAATACACACTATATTGTTGACGTTTTGACCGATGCGACATATCTTTCCAAGATGGCCAGTCCCTACGGACGTTGTTGCTTTATTTCACAAGTGTATTTGCTCGCTTTTATTGCCCTCACGCTACATGTGATCAAGAAAAGGATCAGCTACGTGATGCGTAACACTACCGTTCTGAACGTAGTTCGTTGTTTCGGCGATGCATTTACCTCGGCGCTAATGTTTTCGAAAAGAAATCTATCGAAGTTCAATCGAGGTCTTCTCGACAGTCATCGAGCCTGAGACATGAATCGCGAACCATGTTTTACGGGTCTATAGAAAGCTTGCATTATTCAGAAATATAAATTATAATTGCTCCGTCGGTAAGTTCTTCCTGCGATCACTACGCCAAATTCTACGCGCGATTCGCACTAATTTTTGAAAGATAGATTTATTTAATATATTTGCTATATATCAAGGACCAAAACTAAAAGTCATTTGACAAATTTTGATGGTAAAAGATAAGGAATTTGTTTATTATTCAAGTTCTAGTTATGTATTTTCGAGTTTCGGAATGTATATATTATTCAAGTTCGAGTTATTAATCGCGAAATATGAAAGAAATTGTTAAAAAAACCATACAATTAAGAGATTTTTAATTTTTGTTCCAAATAATAATTACAATTAACCGAAAATTTTGTTGTTGCTATAAATCGTTAATGATGAAGGAAATTATATAATATTTCAGTCACTTATAATAATTTTCGATGATTAGAATTTATTCTAATTATTCATAACAGTTATCAGTGAAAGAAATTTTGTGTAGGTCATTCGTAATAATCATTCGTGATAGGATCTCTATTTCGATCGCCTATGACGGTAATAGACTAATAATTTTCCTCATCGATAGTTTTTGTCAGCAACCGGAATAGAGTTTCTTTCAACGATAACTCTTATCGCTAACTCAAACTAATTTTGTTTAGCAATGATGTTTACGGGCAATGAATAATTTTTAAATCTCTTATAGCTAAAAACTAAAAACATAACTAAAAACATTTCGATAAAATATAATAATTGTTATGCAATGATTCCTGGTACCGTTCTGTTATTCTGGTAAACAGAAACAACCGAACCCACTAATACGTTAAACCTTAAATGGTATGCTTGTTTTTAATTTATTCAAGCGAATTTTGTTAAGTAACACTTCCGAAAAGCTTATTCTGTAATACTGTAAGTTAAAAATCAATAAATAGATCCACGCGATAAGTAAAAAAGTACCGACACGTTTATGAAACAGTAAATAGTATATATAATTAAAATAAATAAAATTGAAGTGTTATTCTATTTCTCAAGCTTGAAATACGTTTATGCTACTGAAAATTTGAAAGGAACGTTGTTATCGTCTTGGCGAGTTCTGTTAATGTGTTGTTCGATACAGTGTACCATAAATATTAGTTTATATTCAATTAGATTGAAAAATCAAAATCAATTTAGTTGATTATATGGAAGTGAAATGTTCTGAGAGTGCTTCTCTTCATTCACGGTTACAAATATACAATTGTATTTTATTTTGATCGCTATTGTATATCTTGCAATAAAAAATTTAGACTTGCTCCGACATTTGTCAAATAGTGCAATGATATAACCTCCATCAGGTGAATATCTTTTCAGATTGTAATCGAACGCCCCAAGACGTTCGGCATTTAAATGTCTATTTCCGGTTTGGATGCCCCAAAAAACGCTCTTGTTTAATTCGAATTGATATACAGTAGAGAGTTCCTAATCCGAACAATTATTTTTACAATATCCTGGTATCCAAATATTCTATATTATTTAAACATTGTATTATTTAGATACATTATCACCTAGTAGAGAACTTGGATGAAATTTTTAGGTAATAGAATGTTTTGATATCAAGACTAAAGCAACAATTAACCGAAAATTCTTTTTGTTGTTATAAATCATTAATGATGAAGGAAATTATATTTCAGTTACTTATAATAATTTTCGATGATTAGAATTTATTCTAATTATTCATAACACAGTTATCAGTGAAAGAAATTTTGTGTAGGTTATTCGTAATAATCATTCGTGATAGGATCTCTATTTCGATTGCCTATCACGGTAATAGACTAGTAATTTTCCCCATCGATAGTTACTGTCAGCAACCGGAATAGAGAGAAAGCAAAAAAAATAAACCGTCGGATGACAGAGTCCCTACTGTATTGGAATTTGTATTCCGTTTAGTGGTTGTAACGCTAAGTAAAACAATTAGGTGTGTAGATTATTTCGTGCAAAAATTGATTAAGAATCAGATGGAAAAATAATTCTAATGATAACTCTTGTAGTTTATGTTTTACGATTTGTTTCTTCAGCTAAACTGTAAAATTCCACTCGGGAATGTCTTAAACTTAAATGTCTATTTTTTTTTTTCAAAAACGTGGTCATCCTACCCTTGCAGTGGTCCTTTCAATGGGAACGGCAATAAGGGGCTTGTACGTTTCATTCGATGAATCTATAAATTACGATCTAATATCGCTTTAAAACTGCGTTCTTACCAGTTTTTTGTAGAACGTTCCATATTTGAGAGTGTCATTTTGTACATTTATTTAATAATAATATTATTGTAACATTTGCGCAGCAAATGTAGGATCTGATTGATCCAGGTGTATCAATTACCGTGTTTGTTTGTTTATGGAGCAGTATTTATTTATAATTGATGTAAACATAATACACATGTCCATGATCTCATAACTATGGATAAAAGTAAATGTTCCTAAAAAGTCTGCTAATGGAAATTTTGTTATGAGTCAAAAATGTACGCGACATGTTATTCTTAATACACGAAATAAACAATATATGTATTTAAAGCGATTTGTTTATTGCGCCAATCAACATGTTAAGACTAAAGTTTACAATTTATATTTTTCAATAAAGATATCGAAAACATTTATTTGAAATTAAGCATTGTTCGCTTATAATAGTGTAATATGAAAATGAAAACAAGGTTGATATATAATAGTAATATTTAACGTTAATAGTCAACGCACAGTCAATCGCTTTGATTATTCGTGGTATTAAAAGATCTATGTAACAATAATTTTTGTCCTCAGATTTCGCAAGCTTGTTCTGCGAGCAAGAACCATAATGTTGTAAAAGAAAACACCTCCGGATCATGTAAACTTACGTGCCATGCTACATTAACGACCGATTTGTGATAACACGAACAACGGTGTATGCATTTCGTCGTTTGGTGGCGCAATATTAAGTTTTACAGTTAAACCGCGCACGTGTCGTCGAAAGTACCAATAAAGTGATACGTGTATTCGCAAAACAATACGTATGCCCTATACTATATTCATTAATGCATAACACTCCGAAAGCGTAACGCTTTGCAAAACGAACGTCTCGAAACGAGTCTATATAGAAACATTAATGCACACTGACCGAATACAATTGATTCGTTCCATTTTAGACAAAACTCGCGATAATGGTTGTACTACTTTGTTGACGATTATTCGTAGAATTAGAAACATTCTCCATCACTGCGCTGCAGTTACGCTTTATAGCGTGTACGTACGACAGAATATAGCTAAAGTAGTGCTAACAATGATATTCACCATTTATCTGTAATTTTAATATTAATTAACGCTAGAATAACTTGGCTCCGAAAGTGGCTACGGTAAATTCTCCCTAGAATGCCAAATTTCAGATTGCTGTGGATTTCCCTGTGCTTGTCTTAAGTCTATGTGATTTATAGCTACGTCGATGCCAAGGTTCGACGGAGTCGGTCAAGCGGCATGCGACGCGGCTCCTTTGACTTGAATTCCCGAAAGACAATACGAAATGATCTGTTTCGGTGTGAGACAGATAAGTAAAACCTCGGAGCTATAAGGCACGTGACCAATTGCAACGACCGCTGATCCTTCACACTTTCTGTCAAACGCGTAAGCTTGTGGCATGCGGCCTCCGAATTGCAGTCGAATCGAGGCATGTGGCCTGGAGGCAATTGGAATTGCTGCTAGTATTTGTTTGCTGACCACCTTGTGTTTCGTTCTTTCTTTCACGAGATATTGGCAACTATAAAGACGAGTAATAATCCTCCGATTACCGTTTTCAATTCCAAATTCCGGGCTTTCTAGGGAGAATTTACTGTAGTTGGTATAGCCTTTCAAAAACGACAGGAACGCAACTACCGATATACAATAATTCTCCCCAACCGTCCTTGTGCTTGTAAACAAAAATGGACAATTTGAGAAGTGGAGATACAATTATTCCAATCTCACGGTTTGTTTTTATAGTTGCCGATCGTCAATAATTAGAAACACGAGAGGCTTAAAGCTAGAATAATATANTATATATATATATATATATATATATATATAATATAATGTAATATAATATATATAATATTATATATAATATAATACTTAAAAATCTACTGCTTAACTCTAATCACGTTGTTGTATTTAATATTTATTAATATTTTCTTCAAAACGTGCGATGAAGAAATGTAATATAATAACGTGAACAGAGTAATTGGATCACTTTGATCGTTTTATTTGTATTTGATAATGTGGGATAATGTCCAAGTAAGATATCGTTTTTTTGGTTTGAAAAGTTGTGGAAATGATTAAAATCTTCAATTTAAAGATCACTGTTGTCTTAAGGGGGGATTCTTGTGTAACGACATAAAAATTAAATGTTTTCCTTTTAATTTTATTTTATACAAAACTAAAAGTAATATTGTTCTAGAATTTTGGGGGGAAGGAAAAAAATTTTTTTAGTCGAATTTAGTCAGATTTTTTTTTTAGCATCTATAACAGACACTAGAAAGCAACGAATCAAAAATTTTCTTATACTCAGATAATTTAAGCTGAGATCGCACCAATTTTAAATAAAAAAATTGACGAGGTTATTTTAGCAACAAGTTCTAGCGGTTGTAAGCAAATTTCGTTTTTTTTTTGGTATATAATTTTAGCTTAAGAACGTTGTTTGAAAGTATTATAAATGAAAAATAAAATCTAATTTTAGGTTTAATCCCTGGACAAAGTTGTAACGAAAAATGTAAGCTTTGTTTTGGTTAGTTTTTCAGTTTCAAAAAATTTCGACTAAAAAATGTACGGGGCATATAAATCACGAACCACTTTGTTTTATGCAGTTAGTAAAGTGAATTAGATTAATCGTTTAGATCAAAATACAATTTCGATGAAATATGTTTAATTGTTTTTATTTGTCAACGATTCATACGTAAAATTGCCTACTAAGCACTGATGTCAGCGTAATTTTAATGTATGTGCACCTTGATAAAGGGGAGCTAGAATTTGTTTCGTGTTTGGTCGAGGTAAGAGTAATCAGTGTTCCGCGGCCGCGATGGACATCGAAGTGGGCGTATAATGGGGCCTAGTGGCCTCATAATACAGGCCAACCTGAACCACTCGGCCAGGGCACAAGACCTACTTGTGCAATACCTGGTCGAGCGGGGTGCCGGGTTGGCCGTGGTGGCGGAGCCATACAGGGTCTCCGACCATCCTCATTGGATGGGTGACTCGAGCGGCTCCACCGCCATATACTGGGTAGGTAGACCGGGATCCCCGGCGTGCTCGGTCATCGAGCGCGGCTGGGGATTCCTGGCTGTTGATTGGGGCGGCACCGCGGTTGTGACAATCTATGCGCCTCCTAGACGGTCCCTTGAAGAGTTCGAACGGTGCCTGGACGGGGTAGGGAGATGCGTTTCCCGCTGCCTGCCCCGTCAGATGCTGGTCCTGGGGGACTTCAATGCCAAGGCTACGGCCTGGGGGTCCCCCGGGACGGACGCGAGGGGCCGGGAGGTGCTAGAGTGGGCGGCGGGACTTGAGCTTCGTCTCCTAAACACGGGCTCGGTCCATACGTGCGTGCGGCATAACGGGGGCTCTATTGTTGACCTCTCGTGGGCAACAGCCCCGGNAAATTTTTTTAGTCGAATTTAGTCAGATTTTTTTTTTAGCATCTATAACAGACACTAGAAAGCAACGAATCAAAAATTTTCTTATACTCAGATAATTTAAGCTGAGATCGCACCAATTTTAAATAAAAAAATTGACGAGGTTATTTTAGCAACAAGTTCTAGCGGTTGTAAGCAAATTTCGTTTTTTTTTTGGTATATAATTTTAGCTTAAGAACGTTGTTTGAAAGTATTATAAATGAAAAATAAAATCTAATTTTAGGTTTAATCCCTGGACAAAGTTGTAACGAAAAATGTAAGCTTTGTTTTGGTTAGTTTTTCAGTTTCAAAAAATTTCGACTAAAAAATGTACGGGGCATATAAATCACGAACCACTTTGTTTTATGCAGTTAGTAAAGTGAATTAGATTAATCGTTTAGATCAAAATACAATTTCGATGAAATATGTTTAATTGTTTTTATTTGTCAACGATTCATACGTAAAATTGCCTACTAAGCACTGATGTCAGCGTAATTTTAATGTATGTGCACCTTGATAAAGGGGAGCTAGAATTTGTTTCGTGTTTGGTCGAGGTAAGAGTAATCAGTGTTCCGCGGCCGCGATGGACATCGAAGTGGGCGTATAATGGGGCCTAGTGGCCTCATAATACAGGCCAACCTGAACCACTCGGCCAGGGCACAAGACCTACTTGTGCAATACCTGGTCGAGCGGGGTGCCGGGTTGGCCGTGGTGGCGGAGCCATACAGGGTCTCCGACCATCCTCATTGGATGGGTGACTCGAGCGGCTCCACCGCCATATACTGGGTAGGTAGACCGGGATCCCCGGCGTGCTCGGTCATCGAGCGCGGCTGGGGATTCCTGGCTGTTGATTGGGGCGGCACCGCGGTTGTGACAATCTATGCGCCTCCTAGACGGTCCCTTGAAGAGTTCGAACGGTGCCTGGACGGGGTAGGGAGATGCGTTTCCCGCTGCCTGCCCCGTCAGATGCTGGTCCTGGGGGACTTCAATGCCAAGGCTACGGCCTGGGGGTCCCCCGGGACGGACGCGAGGGGCCGGGAGGTGCTAGAGTGGGCGGCGGGACTTGAGCTTCGTCTCCTAAACACGGGCTCGGTCCATACGTGCGTGCGGCATAACGGGGGCTCTATTGTTGACCTCTCGTGGGCAACAGCCCCGGTCGCGCGTCGTATTACGGGGTGGAGGGTGGCGGAGGAGGTCGAGACATTGTCTGACCACAGATATATTGTTCTCGGCCTCTCCGCTGCCGCATCGACACCCCGACGTCGCCCCGCCAATGAGGGTTCGCCTCAGCCGCGGTGGGCGCTGAAGCGTCTCGACCAGGACGCTCTGATGGCGGCAGCCCACGTCGTGGCCTGGCCAGGTACACCGGCTGGGTCCGTCGACGGGACAGGGGAGGCTCGTTGGTTCCGGGGCGCCATGACGTCGATTTGCGACGTCGCCATGCCCCGGGCCAAGGTCTTCCCGAGGAAGGCGGAGTACTGGTGGTCGCGCGTCATAGCGGATTTACGCACTGAGTGCGTTCGCGCGCGACGCCAGTACGCCCGCGCCCGTCGACGACGAAGAGGAGACGACGTGCTGGCTGCGCAGCTGTATGGGCGATACAGGGAGAAGGTGATCGCCCTGCAGCTGGCCATCTGGCGGGCAAAAGACCAGGCCTGGCGCGACTTCCACGGCTCTCTGAGTCGAGATCCGTGGGCGCGCCCATACAAGTTGACAATGGGACCATTACGTCCTTGGGCGCCCCCCGTGACGGAGAGCCTGGATCCGGGGATGCTCGGGCGGGTCGTGGACGCTTTATTCCCCGTTAGCGGGGANCCCCCCGTGACGGAGAGCCTGGATCCGGGGATGCTCAGGCGGGTCGTGGGCGCCTTATTCCCTATTAGTGGGGAGGCGTCCCGGCCTGCCCCTGTGCCAGAGGACTGTGAGTGGTCCCCGGATCTAGAGGTCGCGCCAGAAGAAATGGCCGGGGTCGTCAAATGGCTCCGGGGCAAGAATACTGCCCCGGGGCCGGACGGTATCCCCGGTCGGGTCTGGTTGCTCGCCATGGGCGTCCTGGGCGAGATGCTCAAGGAGCTTTTTAATAGGCTCCTGAGGTCGGGGATTTTCCCCGATCTCTGGAAGGTAGGTCGGATGGTTCTCTTAAGGAAGGTTGGGAGGCCTACGGATTCTCCATCCGCGTACAGGCCCATTTGTCTCCTGGATGAGGTGGGCAAGATCTTCGAGAAGATCATTGTTGCCCGCCTCTCCAGACACCTGTCCCGCGACGGCCCCGATCTGGCGGACTGCCAGTTTGGCTTCCGGGAGGGGCGATC